AAGGCTTCCTGCTCAGAGAGCGCTACCACACGATGTAAACCCCCCTCAAAATCCTAATGCACTGCATGTCGACTCAGGTGTGGTCTGGAGTCCAGGGGTTGCTGATGCATCAGATGCGTTTTGGTTTGCAGCGGATGTGAGGTTCATCTGGAGGCAGCCTTGGGATGAGGCTTGTTATTCTCCTCAGTGAGACATGAGGCACACACTCTAATTAGAACACATCTCCTGGTGAGAGAGATGCTGAGGTCTGACTACTCCTCCAATCTAATCAGCTTTCTACCTCACTTAGGCTGCTCCACAGAAAACAGGCTCTCGGCTCGTCTGACAAACAGATACAACAACAAGGAGATGGCACTGAACAACTGTTTCTAATTTGGAGGACTTTGCAGAATTTCACAGATCTAAATCTTGAGAGGGCACGCGTCCAACAAAATCTCACATCTTTGCCATCTTCCTCTCACTCTGCTGGAGACAAGTTAAAAAGGGGTGGGCTGGTGGCTGTTGATGTGTAAAATAGATGCAAAGATCGGAACACGAACACAAAAAAATGTTAGTTGCTTTTAGACAGGCCGTCGTTGATAACATCATTTTGTCAAAAAAAAAAAAATAAAGACAAGAATATTGCCTACGTTTAAAATTACATTTCACTCTAAACTTACGTCTATTACACATCACTTCTTCCTCTTCACTTTGCTGGTTTCCTCCATCAGCCTAATAGAGCACATCACATGCACATGCTTATTAAGTGTCATCCCTCCAGACTCACTTCTAACACTAGTCTGCAAATAGTTGTAGAACATATATCATTATGTACTTGAGACTGTGCCACAGTTGTCAGCACTTCATTTTAATTTGGCTCCTAAGTCACTGGTTATTTCGACCACTGGGACATCCTGTCGGCTGCAGAAGTTAAACTATTCTGAGGCATTAGGACTGAAGGAGGTACACTGCTGAATCCCTGCCTCTGCAGTGTCAGCTGCTGTCTCGCTCGGATATCAGGGAACCTCATTCTATCTCATGTGAGCATCTCGAGCAAAGGATGAGGGCTGTGTGAATGTGTACTATTTTAATTTAGCGCTGCTTAAATGGAGCGAGCATGTAAAATGCATTTTCCTGTAGGCTTGCATTTATAATAGTTAGGGCATTGTTAACAATTATATCTAATACTAACTGCAATATTAACGTTTCAGTGGAGAATTCCTTTTTGAAATAATCCTTTGCCGCTGCCTCCATCTTACTTGTACGCTCATTAAAAATCCAAAGGAGTGAATGTTTGAAGCTACATTAACCAACAGGGATTCTGTAGATGAACTACATTATCTGCATGAGGAGCATCACTGTGACATTTAAACACTTAAAGTCTGTCCTCTGCCTCTGCACTTGACTTTTATTTAGTCTTGTTTTTTGGTGCTTTAGAGAAAAGTAGACCTTTTGCTGTTTTGATTTTCAACCCTCCAGTAATATTAAAAAAAAAAAAAAAAAAAATATGCTGCTTTAAGCATTAATCAATATCAGATCACAATGTTCAAAAATTACTATCAAGAACGCTCTAAGCCTCTTTCCAAAACTCTCCATGGAGTGTGAAAGATAAAAAGAACAATATGTCTCTGCTCATGTCCTTGAAGTCTTATTATTAGTCTCGGCAACAACTAGTCCTTATCAACAGTACTCTTAAAGTATTAATTCGTCCCTTCAGGTATTTTGAGCATTTAATAATTACCTAGAAGCTCCACAGGGATGACACATGTAAATTGTACTATATACGAAAATCCTTTAATTAAAAATATAATCCACACATTAAAACTTAACCTTGTGTTGGGAGTTGCTTGAAATGAATCATTTAGTCACAACATTTCATAACAACAAGAGAAAATATTAATCAACACAATATTCACACGTTAGCTTTAACAAATACTCATTAAGCTTACCAAGCACCTCATTAGCTTGAGTGCAAATAGGTCACGTCATGGTGCTCCGAAATGCAAAGGATTTCATGATTTGCATGGGCTGGCTCCTGAGGGGATTCATATTTGAAGAGAAAGCTCTCTGTGTGTGTGTGTGCGTGTGTGTGTGTGTGCGTGCGAGAGGGTGAGAAAGAGAGAGGGAGAGATTTGACCTGCAAGCAATCTCTGGAGAGCCGTTGACTTGCAGAGTCTAATCAGACTCTGGCTGATGCTTGTTCTAGGGGATTGCTCCTCTCCAGCCCTCAGGCCTAATTAGGACCCATGTGTACCATACAGAGAGCTGCTGCTCACTGTGACTACTGGATAGACGCTCACCTGTGTTGTGCTCAGCAAGCCACAGAAATGAGCTGCTGGCGGGCATGATGACAAGAAGGGCACCGGGTAGGTGTAGGAGCCACACGGCCCACGCCCCCACCTGGAGGTCGTATGAGTTTAATGAATGTGAGGACGGGGAGAGAGAGAGAGAGAGAGAGAGAGAGATGGTGAGTTAATGAAAAGCTGTGAGGACAGAATGTGAGAAAAAGGCAGACGTCTGGGCTGAGAGAGGGTCAAACAGAGTGGAGCATCTTTTATGATTCCTCTCTTAACAATGCACTGTAGCCATTTGCAGAGGAGGGGGAAGCTGAGGAGACTGAGAGGCTGAACATACAGCAGAGTAAAAATACGAACGGGATTTAGGTTTCATAAGCTCAACTTTCTGTATTGCTCTGTCTAACACCAAGAAATCTTCAAAGGATACTGTGTTACATGTAAATTTCAAGAGAACCTCAGATGAAGTAGTATTCAAACAGATAAAAGTACTAGACTTCTGAGGTATGTAGATAACAGAGAGGAGCAATGTGTCCTACATTTCACTGGGAGCAAAATCATTATTAATGAGTATTATTAGATAAGAACACCGATTCTCACAGTTCAATGTTCCAACGTCTATTACTTGTGATTTTGAAAGATACACATTAAAATGCTGAGCAAGTCTCTGCTGTTCTGTTTGTGAGCCGCCCTGCACTGAACCCTAGATGTCTCTATACTCTCTCCATATGTCTGCTTACTCCTGTAGGATCTACATTTGTTGATATTGATTTAATTCTTGCTTGCAGACGTTTGTGATGAGCAACGATTTTATTTTAGGACTGCAAAGAAAGTGGGTGACACTTTATATCACAGCATCACAAGTTACAGTGTAAATTTTTTTTGTACATAGATGTTCCAATTACATATTTACTGTTGCAGGAGTAGGGCAGAAGAACAGGGAATAGGGATAATACATTTTTGTTTGGATGGGACCTAGTATTAAACTATACTAAGTACTTTCAATTCCTCAGTACATATTGAACAAGTATAGGGTACAGTATCCTGATACCACGGACTAGCCCTATAATATATTTTTAGTCTTTGGTCCACAGTTGTAATCCTAATAGTATCCTAGTGTCATTTGCTGAATTTGAATGAACAGCACCCCACTTTATCTTCCAATAAACCTGTTTGTGCTTTGATTGTCAGACAGATCCAAAACTGCATTACTATTCCGCTGTTCATCATCATTAAAATAAATCATGAATAAAAACACCAATTATGTAATTATAGCTGTCAAGGGACTGTCTTGATAATAAGTAGGTTACTCCATTTTTAAAATAAGTTACATGTTAATTTCTCAAAGTACTTGATTTTGTAAATACATCATAATTTTGAAATAAATTGTAGGGCAATTTAATTTTAACATTTCAACACTCATCATTCCTTCATTGTTCTTGCCTTGTTACCCAGTAATAATATTACTTTAAGCCATAACCATGAGATAAAGTCCTTCTTAAACACAATCATTGCCTCTTTATTTCCCAACCCATTGTCTTCTTCCCTTGTAGTTACCAAAATATTTACCAACACTAGTATATAGTTATTTGTACCCCATATACAGTTAAATAATTTAAGGCATGAATTTAAATCATAATCTAAAAAATTACCCATAATATATTGTGTAACATGGAATTCTGAGAACACAATGACTCAATTCACACTGCTTCAACTCATAGAGCCCACTGTAATGTCCCCGTTCATGAATCACAAAAGTGTTTTCCTTTTTGTTTTTGCAGTAGTGTATGAGTCTGGCTGAAGCTCAGACAGTCGGGCTTTAGTATTCGTACCATGCAGCCAAATCCAAACTTTTCACTGCAATCATGTGACATGCAGTCCTAGAATCTATTTGATAACCTGCCACGACTAGGTGTTCCTTGCTTTGTCTTTTGAAAAGTGATTGAAATTCCTCACAGCTACACCCACTCACCCACCTACAACAGAGGCACACGGACAACCTCACAGAATGCAACAAACCAACAAGGATATGTTTTCGCTGGCAACATGGGAGACAGATGTAAACGCTGTCTAACCACAATTTTACTAATTAGATGCAAAAAATACTGATTCAGCTGTTTTTGTGATTAGTTTGAATTTCAATCACAATGTCAACTTTTAGTTTAAAGGAGCATTGTTTGATTTGGTGTGTTGTTTTATATAAGTCAAGCAAAAGCCGGGAGTAGGAGGGGATTTAAAAAGTGATTAACACTTTTGTGAAATGCATGTTATCAAGGTCAAGGCTTCAGATGAGACAGAATCAATCATTTGATAAATGTATTTGTGCATCTGTTTCATTTAATGATGTACATGGACAAGCAGTGTGGGTAAGGCAGTGATTAAATACTTTTTGTAACAAAAATATAAACATGTTTTTTTTTGCAAACAAAGCACAGACTACAAAGTGAAGTGCTGAATGTTACAGCATGGATGAACTTATATGATTCATGCTGGGAAAAAATGAAAAATAAAAAATCTCTCACTCTATATAGAAACTGATGAGACCAACAGTTAGCAACATTAGGTGGTTCACACTTGTGCTATGGCTTTACATTTCGGATTTACCACCACAGTGCAGCAGCTTAATTCTGCTCTCCCTGAAGACTTCACTGACATTTTCCAAGGTCTTGCTTTCAAACCCTGCCTTGATTAGTGAAGCAGGTTTTAAGAGGAACTAATCCCATTCCCTGGAATTTCCTCTATTTTTATAAACCAGTCAGGAAATGGGGAATCCAGTGGGCAATAATATACGGTTACAGGAACTGAAATCATGTGATCCTGAAGCTGAAATAATGGCTATATCTAGCAACAAACAGGATACTGATGCTGGCTGGTAACTGATCATTACAAGTGCAAAAGCAATGTCATAGAATAGATTTTGCTCTGTTCATTAGTGTCACTTGAAAGAATAATACTGTTTTTGACATTTCACACAAATTGTCTGAAGGCTGCTCAGAGTTCCCCTCCGCCTTCATATTACTGTAGGCAAATTATTTTAAAAGAAGATTCAGAGAATACATAAATCTTTCAAAAATATGTCTCATACCTTTACTCCCACTTAAAATCATGGCCCACCATTTCATAAAACTTGACATTGTAAGGTCTATAGAAGTCTCGCAATTGCTCAATAGCATCTCTGTCTATCTGCACATGAGTTCTGCCCTTGGACTTGCCCAGGCAGCGAGGCGAGCCGCTGCTCTCCGGCTTCTTAAGGCAAGGGAAGCCTTTGGTGCGGTTGAAATAGAAGTGTTTGTCTGTGACGATGCGCTTTAACCCGAGGAAGTCTTGCACCCGAGCCAACTCTCCCGCTGGGTCAGTGATGAGACGCTCTCCGCTCACAAAGTGGATCTGAGCCAGAGGGAAGTAACGTAGCCAGTTTTCGAGGTGCAGAGCGTAGAGGCCGATCCGAATGGCGTTCCAGGACGTGTCCACAATGCCCAGGCACTGGTTTCTAAAGGCCAGCTCCTGGAAGCTTGGCAGGTCGGGAGTTTTGGATAAAGTCTGTGTGTAATCTGATATTGCCCGAGTGACGGGGTCTCTCACCACCACAATGAGTTTGGTATTGCGGGACATGGTGGAGATCCGGTGTGGTGTTTCTTTTGTCACAAAGTAGCTTGGTGTCTTCTCCATTGTGATTTGGCTTTCAAGAGTCCTTGGCATTAAACCTCTGAATGAAAGATGAAAACACAAAGTAAAAGTTCCAATAACATAAAGATTTCTCATTCACACTGACTTTATCTTAAGAGTTTCTGTCTTCATATTTTCTAGCTGTTTTGAATTGCTTAAATACCGTGAAGGGTAAAAGACTTGGATACAAAGGACATATTGTCCTTGTATTCACTCTGTCAAATGGTAAAAAGTGTATTTTAGATGTCTATTTAGGGCAGGATTACACAAGTGATTTGCAAAGATATAAAACCTCACAAACTGAGTAGCTCCAGTTTGACTGTGAACCCACTTTCTCCATGTAAATGCTAATAGGAGCACAGAAGCAAAGTCATAGTAGTTTATTGTCACTGGAGACCTGTCTTGCAGACAGCTCTCTTGTGCATCAGCCCTGCATGGTTCAAGAGCAATAAATCACCATGAATGCAAACAGAACACATATAGCAGACTGACTTCTGGGTCTTCTAACTAGGCCATTGTGGTCTTTGAAAGAAATTATGTGAAGAGGTACGCCTTCCCACAGTAATAGTTTGATTGGAAACCATCAAAGATCAAGGACAGACTTTAACAAGAGCCTGTAAATAGGGCTGTAGCTAAAGATTATTTTCATCATTAATCAGTCAGACATTTTGTCTATTGGTCGCTTCATCATTTGTCAATACAAGACCAGAAAACTGTTTAAAATGCCCATCACAATTTCCTACATCTGACAGTGATGTCATGATTCATTGTCTATGTTATTGTTTTATGTCATGTTTTATTTTGTCTGTCCAGCATCTAAAAATATTCATGTAAATGTCAAGACAAAGAAAATTGATTTTTTTTTTTTTTTTTTTTTTTACATTTGAGAAACAAACTAGAGAATGGATTTGTATTTTGTAATTAAAAAGACTTAAATGGTTACTTGATGATTGAAATAGTTTCTGATCAATTTTGGCGACTATTTTAATAATCGATTAATCGACTAATTGTTGCAGGTCTATCTGTAAATTAAAGCCCTTGTGTGTTTTTTGAAATTTGACTGGTGCATTATATCTGCTGCTTTCAACCAATTGATTTCTGTGTCCCCAGGTTGTATTGAAACTACCACTAGGAGGCACCATTTCAAGTATGTTACAGTCCTACTCGCATAGGATTAAATTACATTCTACCATAGTCTAAAGTTGATTGAAACAGCTGGAAAATGAAGCTCAGATGAATTTTTGGTGCTTACTTTGCTGAAAGGTTTTGTTGTGCCGCAAACAGCCTGTGAAATAATATGAAATGTTTATTTGTTTTCCACAGGAGCGTTGCTCCCTGGCCGACCTGGCTCTGCACTGCAGCCTTTAGTATTGCACAGACTTGTGCCAATTTATTGCATTTCTCATTTGGTCTCGCCAGTCCAGTCACCATCTGATGCATCCACACTCAGGGAGTGAACCTCAGGGATCTTTATCACTACTGTTTTCTTTATTCTTTTGTTTGCATGAGACAAAACAGCAGCACACTCAATGGCATGCTGACAATGAGACTATGACTACTCCAAACAATACTTTGGCCTTCATTGATGAGTGTTTACGAGATAGTTTCAGAGAGGCAACTCTTTATTTTGAAAGCAATCCTCAAAAGTAAGTGAGTTGGCATTTGACCTTTCCTCGACAGCTTTGACAGCTGCCAGTCAAGTTACGGTGATGGGGGAGGGTTCACACCTCCAAGACATTTCTGAGATGAAAGGGCTTCAGCCTCTAACTGTCCTGAATAGTGCCAATTAGTGGAGATACGTTCAGTCTTATAATTATTTTATAATACTCCTAATACATATACCTCCTGCAGGGTACATGGCAGCCAATCATTAACATAAAATGTATTTGGAAGTCTATGTGAATGTGTTGTGCATGGTTGTCTCTTTGTGTGCATATGTGCACAGTATTTCATAACTTAACCACAACACACATCTGCTTTACATCTGTAATTAAGGAGTTTTAAATGATGTGGCTGCTTCATGTATGGAGTATATAGGTAGATACTTGATGATCTGTCAAACAAAGCAATTTGATGGGGAAGCACTTTGTTAATGGTGCATTCATTTAGAATTTTTAAATCAATAAATCACCCACTTTAATGTTCATTTAGAGATATTAGTAAAACTATTACAAACAAGAACAAGACAATAGCTCAGAGGCCTGGCAGCTACAGCGGGCCTGCACACTGCAGTTTACACTGTGTGCCTCCAGAGGTTGGATTTTTATGAGAAATCTGATGAATTGCTCCACAGTACATCTAAAAAAAAAAAACAGCCCCTGTTCTGCGGGTGTAAACAGAAATCAGGCCTCCAAAGTTTCTTGCAATAAGAACATGAAATGAATCAAGAGACTGGAAAACACATCGAGCATGTTTACCATTCTCAAAACACAGTGTACTGTACACAGAGAGGCACCCTGGAGAGGAAGGGGGACAAGGACAGTGCAAGGCCGTATTTTTAACAGCAACAAGCTGATTTTACATGAGTGATTTTAAATCTCAGAGGAACTTACACTGGCTGGCAGGAGGCACATCATTTTCTACATTGCAAAATATTGGGTAACTCCTCCAAGAATAGATAGACTTGCACAGAAAAGAAATCTTAGGAAAAAAAACTAGGCCTACATTAAGTACATTTGATCAGCCACAACTTACCTGAATTCCCTTTAAATTCCAATTCTAGAAATTGGAATTGAATTAGACATTTATGTTCGGCAAATATAATCTTTTAGATTGCAAAGCAAGAATATTCACACAGTGTACTGACTGCCCATCTTATACATCCTTCCTCACCATTCGTTTGCAATCAGATACGTGCATGTTAGATTAATGATCTGATCCTATGTCCAGAGACTCCCATGAGTCTTTGCGGGCCCCCAGCTGAGTGAAAATGCTACACTTTAAGCAATATAGGCAACTAAGTACTGACCCCACAAACAGAAGTGATCAACAGTCACTATAATTCATTTTCAGTGTCCACAGTGTAGAAACTTGCATAATGTATCACACCAACAATCGCAGTCTCTGATTTCTTGCCATAAAACGTGAATGAACTGTAATCGTGTTGTCATTTGCAGGTTCCGTTTATATATTCGATTACAGGCACAGATGGACACGCACCTGTGCAGGTGAGATATGCTCTTACCTGTACCACTCCAGGCCTCTATCATAGTTCCTGTCGAAGAAGTGTGTCTCGGTGCCAGCCGCTCGCACATCAGGATGGATTCTGATGAACTCCAGCACAGCTCTCGTCCCTCCTTTTTTCACACCAACTATGATGGCATTTGGTAACTTTTTATTCCCAAACTTTAAACTACCGATCGGGGGGCTGGGCGTGTCATTCCTGACGATGTGGAGAGTCAAAGAGGATTTTTGGTCGCTTTTCAGCCGAGATGCCTCAACACTGCTCGCCCTCTCGTCCAGCGGCAAAACGCAGGAGAGGGATTTCTGAAGGCGCCTTTTGGCTCCATCGGCCAGGACGCGTTGGCAGCTCGGCGTCGGATCACCTGATTTGTGCATGATGGTATCGGCAGGGAATAGTGCACAGTAGCACAAATATGAAAGGAGAAGGGATAGTAAGCAAATTGATGTTCTTGTGAGCCTGTGAGAGAAGGGGAGAAGCCGACTGAAGAGGAGCACGCATGCCATCTCTCCATGGATATGAACAGTGCATGGTTTTCTAATTGATTCTGCGATCCGTCCTTTCTGGTTTGTTTTAGACGCTTAAGTGGCTGTGAACTGCTCACCGACTCCAAAGCAGGAAAAAAAAAAAAAACTTCAGTTGGTGGTCAGCACTTCCATCACTTGATCACGCAGCATATTAACACAATCCCTCCGTGTCCCATCTCCTCAGTTCGGGAACTGAAAAGGCGTCCCTCGCCGCGCACTGAGTTTGGCAACGACGTCCTCCTTTAAAACTCCTGGACGCCTCCATGGTCATCACGCACGGGTGAGGAGCAGAGGGGTGCGCGCGCTCTCTGGCAACTTGAGCGGACTGTCGGCTCCAAACCGACTGAGCGACAGAGAAATACTTCAACACGGTGACGTCAGAGCATCTTTGCATTTAAAAAAAAAAAAAAGGAAAAAAAGTGTCCAGTTCTCTCCTCTCACTCGTCTGACCTTACTCACTTCTCAGCATGCAGGTGTCTTTTTTTGGCACACTTTATATCTGCTGCATATAAACATGGAGGCGCGAGACTATTTTTTGCAAGTTGAATGATGCATCCCCATATATGATTTTTTTTCTTCTTCCCAGCCAGATGAGATTCAGTATATAATTTCAATATGTCTATATGTGTGAAGGATGAAGCAATAGTAGTTACACCAACGGCACAAAACGGATAAGAAACACATCCACCATTTAATACTTTCATGACCCTAACCAGCGGCACTGCAGCCCTCCATTCAGAGGAAGCTGCAGCGTTACAGCCGTTTTCATCCTCTTGCGCAAATCAGCACTAGTTTCCTCCTTTCTGTTGAAGTGACCTGAGGTTACCTTTTTTGATAACTAACTTAACATTTGTTTTTATTTAATGGTTTGTCCATGTCTAGCTAACTGCCAGTTGAGTTTTACTTGAACCACTGCTTAAAATCAACATCACTCACTGCTTAAACTTTGTGAGAACCCCCCCCCCCCCCCCAGAACAGAAAATTAAATATCCATAATGCCACAACTGGGCAAATTCCTATTGCTGATGAAGATCATTTGATATGATTGAAAGCACAAGAACAGTTTTGTCTTTCAACTGCTGTTTCCACATTTAAAGGTGTAATGTGTAAGATTGTGCTACTTGCTCCATCTCCATAGGGGGCAGCATTTCACCTCTTCGCTGCTGTCTAGTTAATCATGTTGTTTTCCCATGTTCCTTATCATTTATTTTTTGTACATGCATTTATTATTGATAGATAGCATAGTTGATAGCACTAAAACAAATTATGAGTACTTGTAGTACAAACAGTATGTTTTTATTTACCTATAAAAAAAATATGAAGGCATACTGCATGACACATGGGTGTCAGGCTAGAGCAGCATGATGAAGGGATGATGACATCATCACAAAGGCAGAATCAGAAAATAAGGTTTATTGATAGGTAGTTTTTTACTTACAAGATATTTGGCTTGGGGTTTGGTGCAGTAAACAATGAACATTAACAAGAAATAATAAAAAGTTAACATACTGCAACAGTCAAAAAGATAAATATACATAGATACACATATTAAAAAAAAAATAAAACTGAAAAAAACTGTGCTTAAGTGTTGACCTAGCAGGATGTGCAAAAGATCACAGTATAGACAATATCTGTTCTGTGCAGGGATAATACTCCGAGGTGTTACTGTAATGTGGTTGATGAGGCCAGACAGAAGAAAAGGCAGGTGCTGGTCCATCACTGGGGAGGACTGGACTAGAATCTAGTGTCATAAAGGGGTATAACAACACGGCCTGGGACGCAGCTTGTTGGTTAGCATGCTCATTCCAGTAGATATCTCTGAAATACATTAGATGGAGGTCTTAGTCATGACATCACCATGGTGGCTCCTTCACATGCTATTGATAGTGTTATAGTTCATTTTTTGAACATTTTAAACTAAAATTCTGGCCAGATCTTATACATTGCACCTTTAAGACTAAACTTTGATGTGTTGATACTTTTGAGTTGATTTTTTTGCTTTGATGAAGGTTTTGTTTCAGGAACACGTCTTTCCTGTTATGTAACATATTTTGTTGACTGACTGGAGTTTGGAGATAACGAGGAAAAACTCTGACCAGAGTTGCCAGCCATCTGCCTGTATTTGCAATTTAGTTCATATTTTTCCATTTCCCATTTTGGAAACTGCAGCATGAGCGGCTAACACACTGTTAGGATGGAGCTTTTAGAGACACAGGAGTCCTGAGGTCCTGGAGCAGTTGCCCACTTTGCTCGCCAGCCCTGAGGGGGTGTATCTCCTCGCAGCCTGAAACCAGTAATCTTGTGCCTGGCATCTCTCTCCTCTTAGCAGAGGTGGTGTTGGTGTGAGCAAAGTGTGCAGGGTAAGTCATCTCTCTTAGTTTCCTGATGACTGATACAAATGCAGACAAGCCTGAGGTGGAAACAGAAGAGGATAAAAACTCCCAGGACTGCAGATATACGCATGGGGAGGAGTTGAGGTGTCACAGTGTTGCTCCCGCGGGTGTCTGCGCCCAATCTCAGAGGCCTCTGATTAAAGAATGATTTATAGGGGCCGGTCGGAGAGGCCCGCTCAGCAATTCGTCTAGTGAATGAGATTTTTCCTCAGGAAGAGGGCGGGTAAATCAAACCTTGGGGCGAGAAGCCTGCAAAGCTCGGCGATAGGGCTCAGTGATTAAATGTTATAATCGCCTGTGCTGAGTGTGCGGCTTGTTTTTGCAGTGCCACTATCAAGGATACTGGTACCTGAAATCAGTTTATCCTTAGTTTAATTTACAGAGCATATGTCTTGGTTTTTTTTTATTACGGAGGCGAGAGACCGTTTTAGACCAACTATGACAGAAGAGCAACGTGGAACAATTTAATTCCATACCGTTTTTTTTATTTTACACTGTCATTTTATAAAGAAAAGAAATTGTGTGAGAGGAGTTAAAAGTAGCTGATACAAGAGCAGATTTTTCATGTATCAGGATCTAACTTTTAGGGGAAACAAAATAAATGTGTCTGGCAATATACACTGTTTTTCCTTTGTGCTGTTGGTTTCCTTTTGCAGATTACTGGATAAAGGCCATAGTTTGCCCACTGACCACTCTATCAGCTGCACTGCTCATTTGTCTGAGGTAGGTGAAACATCAGGAGGGGGGGGGGGGGGGGTTGTCAGCTTGTCTCGCCTCTTGATCTGACACTGGGTGCAGATACAGATGATCCAGGATGAGAAAACACTCCCACTGCTTCACTTCACACCCCTTTTATGAAACAATACACACACACACACTGAAGTGTTTTGTCTGGTGACAAACATGCAATCGCAGTGTTCCTTCAGTCAGTGTGTCAGTTGACACAGTGTTAGGATATAAATGTAGCGTCAGATAATCCAGTAGTCCAGACGCTAACAGTGTGAAGAACATTTTTAAGCAGGCAACAGTGGATCTGTACGTTTAGTAGCCTATCAGCTGCATTGACAGTGAAAAGAAGACAGACTTTGTAGATCCTGTAACAATCAAAACAAACCAAAACCTCCAGCACAGAAAAATCCTGAGCAGCTTTCACTTGGACTCCTTTATCCTTTGTAGCTTTAATACATGCAGTCTGTGAATTCAGATTCTCCTCTCTTCTGTGTGTAGGCCACAGAGACAAGTGACACCAAAAATGTGATTCATCATAAATCTTTAATTTATGAATAGTACATGGGTTTGAAAGTAGTTTCCACTAATGTCATTCTTCAACTGTGAAATTTATGGGGGTAGCCGTGTTGGCCATCCTTTTAAGGCTTGTGAGTGCCCAATACACATCGCAATACTGACCTCTGCTGGTCATATTATGGCAATGCACCAAACGGGCGACATTTGGCTGGTTCCGCCAATGTACTCAAGTGAAAGTGAAAGCTTTCAAGGCGTAAACATTGCATTTCGTGTATCGTTTGGATTGGTGTCGGACGAAACAATTCGACTATAAATCGACTCGAAGAGTAAGTTTCTAAGTTTTCTAAATGAAATGATTTACTGCCATGTCTCTTATAAATCGTTGTATGATGTGCTGTCTGCTGGCAAAGCTACAAATGACGTCCTGAACAAATTGCTTCAAACAAGGTTTAATTATTCCAAAACATTTTGAAAACCTTTCAAACCTTTAAAAAACCTAATTGGAAGAGGTGTAGATGACGTCACCTATAAAAGTGAACCCCTGTGAGTTACCACAGGCGTTCCCTTTTCATTGTTGTTGGTCTCCCCGAGGCCAATGTTGTATGATGTGGAAAAATAATGATAATAATTGCAAACTAAATTTTTTCCTTCAAATATAAGTATTGAAGTACTAATCCTCTCCTTTGCAACAAACTGGGTTTACATATTAGATAAAGGTACCAAAATGCAAATTTGACCATTAAGCCAAACTAGGACTCAGGTTGTATGTTATATGGATTCTGTATGATCAAACATATCATCCTTCCTTCTCTTTGCTAAAAAAGTTCTTCAGAGACAAGGAAATGCAGATTACAGTATCTTGCGTAGTGACCAACAATATATCTTGGGAAATTAGATCCCAGAGAGGCATAAACCTCCCCTTGACCTGTTAGGAGCAAACCTTTCTAAAACATGATTAACAGATTAACATCTAGGTTTGTGATTCGGGGGGAGCAGTTACACAGATGGAACATGTGACAACCCCTCCCATCACAAACATGACATCACTGTTTATTATAAGATATTTTCAAAAGTATCAAGCTGATAGAATTATTTTTAGTGTGCAGTTTGAGTTGTTGAAGAGGGTTCAGGATCTCCAAGACCCTCAACAGAAAGTTATGGTGAGGGAAAACTAAAATTTGACTTTTCTTTTTTTTTCTTTTTCAGGAAAAATGGCAAAAATTTACTCGTATGTTGCCGGAAATACATTGGAGGCTCACCAGAAATTTCTTAAAAAACTCACCAAAAAAGGTGCAAAGACAGTGAACTCACCTGAGGAGAGAGAAGCGACTATTGTCTTCT